CGATTTTGGGGTATCTGCATGTATTGAAGCAGTGCATCATCTGATCGAACCATTGCTCGTCGGCTTGTTCGTACTGTTCTTTACCGGAAATCAGCCGAGTATTTGGCAAAGTTTAAAAACGTAAACGTAGGATGTCAGTAAGACGGTGATGTCTTTTGCGCAGTAGATTTTTCGTGACACTATGTTGCTTTTAACGAACGACCAATGAAGAACAATCCGCAGAGAACCAACGGCGGCTGAAGCAGAAGGTCTGTAAAAACACTTTATACGTGGAAGTCGTTAAAGGAAAATGTTGGGTTTGCTTTCCGCTGCCACCAGTGTAGCGTCTCGAGGCTTCCCATTAGATGGAAGGAGGCATAAGTGGGGCTGAATACATGTACTCCGAAGACGACAGGGCAAGTGGTGCCTGAGTGTGGCCCGAGGGCCAACCCACGTGTACAGGGACTAAACAAATTCTAAAGTGACCGTCAAACGTCAGGTAGTCACGTAAGCAAGGCATTACAAGTTCAGCCATCCTTAACGTCCTCCTTGATAACTTCTTAGGAGACGGTTTGCCTACAAACGCCATGTTTGACTTTTCAGCGGAGTGGGAGCAATTATGTTTAGGAGGGAGGATTGTATGAATCCAAGTCAAAAGGGTTAGTTGCTTCTGTTGTTCCTTTCAATACGACTTTCGCTATCATATCCTGTTTCTGGCCTACAAGATTGATTCACTCAATTGCTTTTATGTCGTATGAATTCCACACTTAATGCTAGTCACATGGGTAGATGTAGAAACATTTTGTCACAAAAGTCTAGTGTAAATACACCCAAGTCGCTTCAAATGTTGCCAAATTTATTGGCTATTACAATGGCAACGCAACGTATCGCATTGGGTAACGCAGGATACTTGATTCACGGAAAGGGGAAAGCATAAACCTCGGTTCATGTTAGTGAGCTTACTATAACTATAGCAAACTCTAAAAGAGACTGACTTCTACTAGCACAGGCAATTGAATATATGAAATGTTATGTTTATGCGGATGCATTTAAGTTGCCCTTAAATAGGAGAGGCAATTGGTCAGTCCGAACACAAATCCAGTGCTTGAAGAATGGAAAGGCCCTTCCTCGGAGTAGTGTTGGATCGCCATCTTATCCACATTCATACCTTTTTCTATTCTGCAAAAAATGCCTAGTACACTCCCACCAACCAATTCTCTTATGACGTTAGTGGTTCATAAGCCTGACGGTAGGCTGAGAGGCCCTGCATAAAACCTTGCAGAAGATGATTCCAGATAGTACGTTCAAACTCAATGTTATCCTTTAATTTCGCAAATTCAAATTAGTTATTTATAGCCTCGAATATTCCAAAGACTTTCCTCCAAGTTTTAAGTCCAACTTTTACATCACTCCCTCTGCCTTGTGCAATAATGCGTAATTCACAGTTGGCTACCAATTGCTATAGCCTCCGAGTTGAGCTAACTACGTGTATTTCGGTGGGAAAAGGAGGAGTTTGGCCTTGGCTCAGCCCAAGGACTAACTCACCCGTGCAAGGGCAAGAAGAGTCTCAAAGTTGCCCTTAGGCGTCTGGTGGTAACTCAAACAATGTGTTACACTGAAAATCTCACCTTTTCAACGATGACCTCGGCTCTCTCCTTGATATACCTTCCGCACCAGCCACCCCAATACATCCATGCCACAATAAAACACCCACTAGCCAGCCGCACCAGTCCTCAGCTACCATGCGACTAAAGGATCGCATTGCTACATCCGCGACACCTATAGTCGGATGGAGAAAGGAGAATCCCGATACGAAACTTGTTAGATATTTTAAGACGGTGTCGCTTCAGTTGTTAACACCTTGTCTGCACATTACAGGACAAGGTAGAGCCTAACCCAGACATCAATCTTAACCCTTCTGTTGCGAGAAATTCAGTTTCCCGACCAATGCATGAACCCTTCCCCTGTAGCATAAATACATTCACAAAGCATGGATACTGAGATAGAAGTCATTAAAAAAGTCGAATAGGTTTTTCGCTATTACTAGTGTAGCTACTCGAGACATCCCACAAGGTAGAAGACACCAAGTTAGGCTAAATATAAGTGTTCTGGAGAGATAATGAGGGGTAAGATCTTGACCTAGCCCAAAGGCCGGCCCACGAATAACAAGGCAAGACGAATCCCAAAGTATCCGCTAAACATCAAGTAGTCACGTAAACAAAGTGCCACTGTACTCATTCCGACTAATTAAAATGACGATGACATGGACATAAATATGGGGCTACGAACTTTTTGAAAACCATTGCCACTTGGTTGTTCCTAGACATTTGTACGGAAAAATACAACTGAATCACTTGAGCTAAATGCACAGTTGGCAAACAGAAAGTGGGTATGAAATTTTGGTGTCATTGAGGAAGGCAAACCTTGCTGACCCCTTATGAACATTGTAGCGTCCCGAGACTTCCTGGCCGGCATAAGAAGTCAGTAGGTGAAATTGGATGCATGCATTCTGAAGATAACAGTACTAATGGACCACGTGTACAAGTGCCAGACAAGTCCTAAAGTGATCGATAAGCGTCAGGCGATCACATAACAAAGCATTATAGACGTTTTTAGGAAAATAACCCAAAACTGGCAATCGGTAATCTTAATGCTAAGCAATTGGAGGCAAAAGTACTGGTAGGAAAATAATATATAAAGTAAATAGATGAGACCGTCGAATTGCCTAAATGACAGTCAATCTGGCAAAAGCATAATGAATGCTAAAGTGGTCGAGCCTGGTGCAATGAACCAAACAGAGCAGTGCCCTTGCTGCTGTATTTGATGTATTTCATTAAAAATTTTTTTCTATACGTTGAGTCATTTTGCGTCAGTTGCCAGCTACTTGAGCTACACAAGTTCAACCGCATAATCGACATGGCTACCCTAAAGAGAAACTAGCATCTCTTCTCCTCACTTTTGCGACTTATGCAAGCGATTTGCCTAATCATAATAACTTTTCATGCCTATAGATGGGCTTTTTGGCTATAATTCGCAATTTATTTGCTTCAGTGGACTTTAGTGAAAACAAAAAGGCATAATTTGGAACAAATTATTTGTGTTAGCATTTAATGAATTCTGAAGCTAGGGATTGGCTTAAATATTAACTTCTCCACAGCCGTTTATCGAGTACAGCACACATTTAATGCCGCAATAAAATGTGCCTATGTACGCTAATTTTATCATAATTCTAAGTCTTATTTTTAATTATTTGTTTATACCTCCTGCTTCGAATGTGCTCGGCAAATATGCTAACTTGTTAGTTTGGTGTACGTACATGCTGTTGGTGTCTTGTGTATTTCCGAGTGGTTTTTTATTGTCTGCTTGACATCTGAAGGCCTTATAATTCCTTTTAGGGCACTTTTGCTCCTGTCGTTTGCGCCATACGTTGGATGAAGTGTGGTTCATTGTTACCCACATTCTTTTATACCCTAATTTAACGGTACTCTCTATGTCTCAGAATCGCCGTCGACCCCTACCTCGTGAACCCAATGATGAGGAGAAGAATGTAATCGTGGCTGTGCGGCATTGTGCTCGTGAATTGGATGATATGCTTCAGGGTGCGAGGCGGAAAGCTCAAGTTGACGCCAAACTCTTTGCGACGAAAACTGCGGTCTCGCTTTTTCGAGGCGTTGAATTCTACGCCGATATGTATTCGAAATTGAAAATAAAGTCACGCATGGCTCTCACGAGGTTTTTTCAGCGGTCCCGCGACCTTGATGATATGGTTGATACCCAAGAGGCAATTGACGAAACGGAGGAGTGTTGGAAAAGCTTTTTGATGAATATAGATAATGATATGAAAGGCGACATCTCAAAGCAGCCTCCTTCTTACCCTGTGAAAGGAATTGGTGATTATATCGAGCTTTTGGAACCGCGTTTAATTGATTGTAGTAGTTTTGAGGAATGCAACTTGCAACAAACCCTTTCTGAATATACAAGTTCGCTCTTGATATTTCAACCAGCTTATTTGCCGGACATATCCGTGCGGTGCAGGTTTTCGGAAATTTCCAAAGTCGTGGTGCGTTCCGTGTTATTAGTATTAACTCGTGCTAGCCTTTCATAGTTTTCGGTTAATATAGTTTTACATCAATTAAGTCACAGTGACGCTATTGCATCCCTCTTGAATGGTCTTATCGACTCCCACTTTGATAGTGTGTTGTCTTGCTAAGCTAAGTTAGTGTTTAATGCATATTTTGCTCCTGTTGCAGTTTCTCGAAGTATCGATTTTACTATTATCGCTCTTACAATTAGGCAGATTTTTACCAGTTGAACGTTGGTTTCGTCGTTATAACATGGGGTCCTGAGTCTGCTGTGCGAGCTTGGAGCAAGCACTTGTTGAAGCATCTAAAGTGGCCTGTTTTATGGGATTGTGAAAATTTCTTCACATCTTTCCTTTCTTTCAAACGAGGCTGTGCAGCGGTAAGTTGAATGTTTTAATCCCTCATTGTCTTTTTGTTGCACTTACCACTTTCCTTTTTAGTTGTGGGCTTCTCAAATGCTGGATTTTTGTGCATACCAAAGCATCACCTATAAGCGCTCAATCCAGCCTCTGCCAATCGACATCGATTGGAGCACTTGGAATTGGGTGGGTGGTGAAGTTGTGATCGCATCCCCAGCTGTCAGCCGTATGCTCTACAAACGGGAGTTAGAGGCGCGCACTCGGACCTCTTCTGAAGAAAAGGCTGATGTTTCTCCTCTGCCGAAACGACCTGATACGGGATCAAGTTCTCGCATCTGCTTCATACATCGCGCTGATAACGTAGCTGACATGGCGCTTCCAGGTAGCATTTACCAAGCTGCTTTGGTCTGCTTTGCAACCTCACAAAATAAGAGCGAATCTGACGTGGTTGAGGAGATTCGGACCCATCGACGCCTCGCCACACCTCCGGAGTCGGGTCGGCTGCAATACGAGGATGCAACAGGCCTTTACTACGACCCAGAGACAGAGTTGCACTATGACTCACGTACAGGCTACTTTTACGACGCTGTGCGGCGTACCTACTACTATTGGTCGGCGGAATCTCACCGTTACGTGCCAGCAAATGAATTAGTCCGTGCACAGCAAGCAGAGGCTCACAAACTACGACTGGAGGCGGCGCAACAAGCAGCACTTCGCGCAGTACGTGAACAGGAAGCGGCGCGAGCTGCCGGAGCACGAGTTGCCGCACAACTGGCCGCATTGCGTGCTGAAAAGGACGAGTACGCCAGCTACGCCTACGCTACCTGCCTTTTCGAACCAGCCGATGATCCCATTGCTGCTGTTCACTCCTCTTCCAGTGCTGGCATCCAAGAGTCTCTACGTCTTCTTGGTGGTAGCATTTCAACCACCACCGCCTCCGCTGCTGCTGCTCCTGGAACCTCATTAACCAATCACGAGAGCTCTCTTTATCCTCCCGGCTGTCCTCCACCGCCTGGTACCTAACATTAAATATAGACAGACTCGCATCACTTCTGCTTTTCCAAGCATTTACATTGCCAATCTGTATGTAGGTCTATTTGTGATAATTACACCGTTTTCCAAAGACTGACTTTCGGAGCGCTGAAGTGGACATGCCCCCTGCACCTGATCAGTGATGTAATAATCATGACGCCTCCAGAGTCGCACCTAAGTTTCCACATCGTACCATCCTTTCCTGTCACCGCTGGTGAATGGTGCTCCTTAACACTGGGCGTCGATGCCCATTCAACCAAACAAGCCATCCATTAGTATCCCACCGGTGATCGATGCTTATACCTTTAGTGAACTCTGCATTATGTCCAATTCCTTTAACATTATTGTGAAAATAAGATCCTCTTAATGAGATAATGCAAGAAAGAGTCCTCGCACAGCAAAAAACTAAAGTTATGGCTCATTTCACTTGACTACTTATTGGTGCAGAGCAGAATACATAAGGTGAAGGCAAATGAAATGGAGTGCACAAAGGGTTTGGCTTAGTATGCACGGTCGTCGCGCGCACTCGTCTCATCGCTACTAGCACTCGAACTGTCTGCTTCTCCATCCTCGCGAGTCGCCTGACGCCTGCGACGGCGCACTATTGCTGCGTCGTCAGGAGTTTCCACTGTCCTCTCGTCTCTCGACAAGACAGCCCGCTTTGCTGGGGACCTCTCACCCCCAGTGCTATCTTCTCGATCATCATCACCACCGGAGACACTAGCACTACGTTTGCCACGAAGTCCTGTGCCGCCACGTTTAGAGGTCTTGTGACCGCCATTTTCACCATCTCCACCATGTCGACTGCTCCTGGATTTCTTTGATTTCTTATGTTTTTTACGCGAACCTGAATCCGAATCGCGATGGTGCTTATGCTTGCGGTGTCGCCGGGATGACCGTTTTCCAGACTCCAGTTTGTGATGCTCATCCCCTTCCTCTTGCTGCTCGTTCCTCACTTCCTCCTCTTCACTGACACCTCCACCGTCTCCCTTTTTCATCTCATGGGAGCGCGACCTGCAAATAAGCATTACTCATCTCATTTCAGATTGGCTTGAAATTAACAGTTAGATCAGGTTAGAGTCTTAGATTAGTTGAAAACCAACAAATCGGTTTCGTTTGGTCGGACAGCAGTGTCTTTGAATCGAAGCAATTAACAATGAAATATCAGTGGAATGAAAGCAGACCTCACGAACCTGAAGTTATGAGACTTGCCAGACTTCGATTCGTGACCACTGAATGCATCGTGCTGAATCAGGTAGTCTTTGAACAAACGAAGCCTTTCGGATTGAAGAGTAATTGCCTAAAACAAATCAAGATGCAGCTTAAGACAAAAAAAGGCATTTGTAAAATAGTAGAAGTAACATCACATTAAAAGAGACGTGGGAGGAAAATCGCTCAGACACTTCTTCCCAAGTGGTAGTGGTCTCCACAGGAGGATCGGCTTGCCTAAGCATCTCAAAGAAACCCTGTTCGAGTTTGTGCATGCGACGCGCCTCCTCGCGCTGACGCTCACGTTCTCGATTGCGTGCCTTCTCCATCAGACCGTCGAAGATGATACGTACGTTGCCCAGATCCAGAAGTCTACCCCTCTCATCAGACACCACCATCTGCAAAGACAAAAAGGCTTCTTTAAATGCAACAAAATAAAAAAGCAAACCAGTTCTAAAGTCACACCAAAACGAGAATACTGTAATAACATTAGACCAGAGTAATCTGGAGACCGATTTCTCAAGATGGAAGTTCACTAATGTATCTTAAAGCAACATTGATTAGGATGAAAGCGTGCTCGTCGAAGTATTTTGACCACAGATCTTGCAAAAACAAGCAGACTTATCAACTATCCAATCAGGGATGTAGAATACCCGACGGCATCAAAATGTGTCATTACTTTTTTAAAATCCTCAAAATCCGAAGAAACTTCGATGACATAGTTTTTTTCTTTGAGAATTTCCTTCATAATCTTTTTATCCGAAGGTAAACGGCACCTCAATTTTTCAACGTAAAACTTGAACAGATCAAGAGGTGTAGATCCCCGCTGAGCAAGCATAGCATGAAAACGTTCGTCACTAAAAGAATGGTTACTAAAGATAACATCCTACCGCCTGATAATGTAGAAAAGGTCTTTCCAAAGTGAAATGGACGTCAACAATTGGTGTTCCTTCAGTTCATCAAGCAGAACAGTAAAGGCTTCGCGGTTTTTTCTCTGAACTCGCTTCTGCTTTCGCTTTTCGCGTTCTTTCTCCTCATCGTGTTCCCTTTCAAGCATTCGTATATGCTCTTCGAATCGAATTAGCGCGTCCTCCTTATCCAAACTCTGCAATTCCTTGTCATCAGTAAATCTTGAAACCAAAAAGGATAAATTGAATTTGTTGGGTAGTAAGGATACATTCTGCTTGCCTGCATGGTAGACCAACTATTGAACCGTAAATCGCAGTTTTTATGCACGCCGCAATAAATATTGCAAACAAAATTGATATAGTACCTGGAATCATCGAGCAGCATTTGCTGTGCCTCACTCCATGTTGTTCTGTACGACAAATTAGGCATGTTGTTTAAAATGTCGTTAAAAACCTTTATATTCCTTTTTCTGAGAGCCTTGGAGTCCTCTTTTTCGCGCTTAGCGATCTCTTGCATTGCGTCGGAAAGCAAAATGCGACGATCATGTTCTGGAACACTAGTCCACTCAGGCACATCTGAGAGAACCTGATCAACCTTTCTATATGACATAGTTGAGTGAATCTCCTTAGTTTGAAGCAAATATTTCTCCAAGTTTTCCTTCGCTTGCTTTATAAGCATCCGTTGTTCTTCCCTTTCCTCTTTTTGACGTTGCGACTTGTAGACGTTAAATATCTGCTTCTTTTCAACAAAATTTTTAAGAACACTATACCGTGGATCGTCACCTATAAGTTTCAGGGCTTGTTCCCACGTAGCATTGCCCGGGACCTTCTTCTCGCGAAAAAGTCGACGTAACCCTTCTGCCATTTCACCTCGAGTTTTATACTCAGGAACGATTACCGCTTCTATCGGACTTTGTTCACAAGGTGGAAGAGGAATATGAGTCGACTCCGAAGTCTCACTGCTAAAAGATTCCAAAGTAGCCTTCATTGCTCTTTCCAGTTCGGAGGGTTCACTGGGTTTTAGCTCCTCAGCAGGAGTAGATGGAGTAATGGGTGTTCCAGACACTGCAGTATTTGACAAAACTGGCAGTGTGTTTGGTTTCGCTGACGCTGCTAAAGCACGCTGCTCTGCATCAATAAGTTCTTGCGGCTTCGTCCACACAGACTCCTTAGTTTCCGCGTTATAGTAGTACACCTTGCCCGAATCCGACTTGAACTCCTTCCATGGACAAATAGCTAACAGCTTTTCTGATGCAGACTTTAGTTCATCAGGTTTCTCCCAAGTAGTAACTTTGGTTAGATTGTTGTAGTAGTACTTTCTGCCATCATGAGATGTGTGCTCACTCCACGGTGTCTGTGTTACCGATGCAGACGCTATGGGAGGAGCATAACCAGCAGCGTAATAGGGATGCGAAATGTAGTGCATGGCAGGAACACCGTACGGGGGATAACCAGCCATCTTCACTCAAATCTGGCTAAGTGGCATAAATGAACCTAGCATGCATAAGCGTTGAACCAATAATTGCGATAGAAAACATCGTAATATGGGACCCGGTAAGTATAACGCTTTTCCGTGCAGTTATCATTCAAGTAAACAGCTATCATATAGCTGGAACTCTAACATCATTTGTTTCAAAATTTCTTTTGGGTCTATGAGTAAAAATCCCAGTTGATCATGTCTAATATTTTATCGAGTTGTGGGCAAAACTTTGCATCGCAGAAATCATGATAATACCAGAAACGTTATAAATATTAAAGTCATTTTCAATGTTAATGAAGTGATTAAGATATTATACATAAACACCTTTTTCTGCTTTTCCATATTTTTTAGCTTAACCATGAGTACGAATAATTCTGTTTATTCTCCACTTTTTTCCTAGTATTACGCATTACATTGAGACAAAGTGTGAACCGTCACTCTGCTTTGCTAGAGTTTTGATTAGCATCTGGATCCCTCCGAATCTTCTCCTTTTGTTGTAGCAGTGTAGCGCCCGGAGACTTCCTGTTAGGTAAAAAACCATCGCGTTGGTCAGAATGCATGTATTCCAAGAGAAGAAGAAGCCATAGGACGCCGACTTAGCCCGAGGGCCGGCCTACGCTTTCAATGGCTGAACAAATTTTTAAAGTAACCACCAGGTATCGGGTGGGCACACAGACAAAGTGTTGCGCATACATTCAGGTGTGAGAGGTAGAAGCAAGTCGACGACTCACCTTATAGATCACTACTCATACAGTCATGGTACTTTTACTGATCTTTATTGCGAGATGAAACCTCCCGGTTAAGGTATATGTCAGTCATACCTGTGTTGCGCATCCCTGTGACATTTGTAAGTCTTTGGTTATGGTCCTTTTTACATTAATTACTTTTCGAATTTTCTCGATCTGTGTTTTTGTTGTCTAACTTTACGTCGTCGTTTCCAAATCACGTATTGGTGTGCATTAGTCAGGTGACTTGTCGTGTACTCGACAGTAGCTGGTATTCATTTGGTTAAGTTCCACATACTGCCAAGATATGGAACACTTTCTTTCAATAATGAGCTTTTTAGTCAATTAAATCTCTGTCATTGCTTCGTTTCTCTGACACGGAGGCCATCTTGGTGCCAATTATCTACTCATTTCGTATCCGCTTTGATTTTTAGCTTTGGAAATATTTTTCGCCTATTATTTTATGTTAGGCTGCTTTGCGTACTCGCATCTCTGTGTGTTTTAAGCTGGAGTTGGTTCATGTATGATTAATGATCGTACTTCCGAACGTAGCGCTTACTCTTTGTGTCAGCCTGGGTGGTAAAAGTTTATCTTTGTTGACTCTTCTTAGTAAACCTGGAACAGATCGATGTGTAGAACCGTATAATGCTATGAGAATTTTGCGTTCTTTACAATGTGAGGTGTCACAGCATCGGCTTGCAGTGATTCATGCTTCGCGTGTAGCAAACACGTATTTTCTTAACGGAACTGAGGACGAGTTACCCATCTTCAGGCCTATCATTTGCAGGTATGAGTTGGTATGTTTGGTTTTGAAGGTTGTATTTACAATGAGTTCTTCTCCATTTACGAGTCGCAGCTTGTAAACTCTATTACGTTTGCATATTAGTCACTTTTGTCTGGTCTCTGCATTGAGGTGATGTGCCTCACAACTACATTATTTAGGCGTTCACCGACGTTCACAAAATCTAAGTACTTTTTACGGCATCTAAAACGGCTCCGCATCAGTAACAAGTTTTACCCCGAGGTGATGCGTTGTCGCCGTAGTCGGAGAAGGGTCTTGGTCTCCTCGAAAAGGCCGGCGCTATTGACCAATCGGATTAAAGTTTCTGTGGTAGGTATATTAGCTTGTGTTGGAGTTGTGGCAATTCCCTTGACCTCATTGACGTAATCTCGCTGAAAGCATTTGCGAGAAAATTGGTCTTGCGGTTAGTTATTCATAATTTATTCTATTCTTTTAGGCCTCTGCAAACAACCCACAATCCGGAAGTGTTCTGAATGTCACTTACTCAGCATATCCTTGTAAGCAACCTCACCTGTTGGGCTGCGATACGAACTTATAGGCATGCTAAATTAAATTCCTGAGACCAACACATTTGCCGAATTAAGAAATATTGCTTCCTAGCTACTGCAGAACCATACTTGCCTCGAATTAACCTCCAACATCGAACAACCCCACGCGAGTGGCACTGTATCAACAGTTTCGCTGATTCCCTCTCCCGCACTATTCTGCGCGACCTCCACGTCCCTCCATCCTTAATCAACTTCAAGTCTGCAGCTAACAAACTGGTGTGTACTAGTAATCATGACCATCGGAAGCAGCTTGCCACGCCTCAATCTGCTCTCGTGTAAGCCTTTCACTTCTGATTGCTATCATGCTATCCAGATTTCTAGTGTTGTTTATGCCTCCCTAGAAGCATTACTTTTATTTGGGAGCGGTAAAATCTGCAACTCCATTTATTCATTCACCACTGTTGTTTTACTTTGTCAGGATCGATTCGACGGTAAATACTTTTTGTTTGGAACTCTGAGCAAATAGAAAACGATTTACCTTTTACCTCCACTGCGTACAAAATAATGCTTTTTTAGAGTAAGGTAGAGCGCTTAGGCTTGGTAACTGGAATATGTTTTGAGTCATTCACGACCATTTTCTTCATATCGCCGTGGGCGTCGCAATGCATTTAGTTTTTAAAAGTGCACCTTATAGATACCATTGCTGCATATTACTAAAATTCTACTGTTTAGGGTGGTAAATCTTCCAAAAGCTATGGAATTTTTAGACAGTTTAAAAGGCAGATACGGTCTAGGAATTCTCTTCCGTTTTGGTTGCAAATACACTTAACGATTCACATTAAGAATTTACACTTTGGATACCTTGATTTCAAAAACCACGTCAGTTTAGCTCACAATAATGGAATCAGAAAGTGGATGTGTGGCGGTGTATTGGGTTGAGTTTGCGACCTCACTTGTAAATTGCAGCAGTCAATCGGCCCTTGATCCCAACGGCATAACCTCACTGCTTGAGGCTGCTGCCTTGCGTCTGGAACGGATCATAATGCACGAGGCCTTCTCCTCAGCCATGCTTCCCTTACGATCCAAATCACCATTATCGCTGTCTTCGTGCGCTTCTTCCTCATACTACACACTTGTTTGCTTTTCCCAGGATGTGGCCTCCAAAGTTATGCAAAAGGCAAGTCCGAGACTGTTTTTACGCTCTTTAGAATCATTGTGGCTAATTCAGCGAGGCGACTGATTTCATCTACGACAATCTAACTTTAGTGTTTGAACAGCCCTATTGACGACTTTGAAGTTACAAACAAACTATTACAGTCCAATTTGCCTTAATTAATGCAGATCGTGTTGAGTTTTAATTTGAACCGCCTTTTTTGGGTCGTTAGGCTTGCCGATCCGCAAAAAGGCGCATGCGCGCCATTCAAAGTGTGGCTGACTCGCTGTTGTGCCCCCTGGCCATCGTGACCTCCTCTGATGTCAAATCTACAATGGTGAATGTCGCACCAATTCTTTTAGACGATGGAGGATTGGTACGCTCATTTACTCTCATTTTTACGCTCGCATTTCTTTCCCCTATTATAATAATACCGAAATTACCAACTTTGTAGACGTACTCTAAAGACTGGTCATTGTAGTAATGGAACGTAGGAAATGCGATCATTATCATGCCTAGTGCCTTGCATCATGCTCATTCACGCAGTATGTGTAACACACGTTTTTTTTTTTTAATTTTTGAAGCCGAGACCGACTAATGTGGACCATAGCCTACGTTTTAGCTGTTTCGCAAGCCGGCTGACCTCTCAGTGCCTCTCAGAAGCGTTGTGGCGTCTAACCCATCCGCCTCCTATTTCACTTCCGCCCTAAGTTGTTGCGTCGACTCTGCCCGATGTACACTTTGCGGACTTGTTTAAGCTTTTGTAGATTGTATGGGCGGTCATTTGGTGCCAAAATAACGCTGCTTTGGTAAGTGCTAGCACTAATACTAGTACTTGTAGTTGCACGTCCATTTGCCTATCTACGACCAAAAGTTGAGCTGCATTCGATGAGTGCTTTCGATTTCTAATGCCAAATTCCTTTTGTGCAATAGGATTACGCATGAAATAGCTAAGGCTCTATCACCAGTTTGGTTTTGTTTCATGTATCCCATTCTTTCCTTAGCGTTGTTAACGTTACATGCTTCACAGTAACTTTCAACTAAAGAGTTTTAGCATCAATGCTAAAACTCTTTAGCCCATTTTGTTCCTGCGCACAAAAAGCAAACACCCTTCTCTGTTTGATTTGGGAACTTATCTATCCAAGCCATCGCCTAATTATTCTACTTAATCGCTTTACAGTAACTCTTCTTATTTTTAGTTCTGTCTGCATTTGAAAATGCAGCGAAATTGCGCTACATAAATACTGGACTTCTTTCCTCCAATCAAGTCATTTTTATTTCCCACTTCTCATCATTATCCAACTTCAATATCTGTATAATCTCCCAATGTCCAGATCTTCTTGAATAAACGTACTTGGTGCAAGCATGGTCTTCATTTGTGAAGTGATGGTGTTGGATTAGTGAGAGTTCATGATGACACGGGGTATTTTTGCTACTAGATTCTGAGAGGGAATCACCTTCCTTCATGAAATATGCATTACATCTAGCAGCATAACGGGGTCTTGTTTACATGGCTACTGTAACCGATTTTGTGTCTATTATGCTATCGCTAAATGTTAACTTTATGGCATTTACTCTTTTCTGATTGACTGAAGGGTGTTCCGTTGCTGTTTTGTCCATTGGTCTGTGGCGTCCTAACGCAGATTGCTGGAAGCCGCTGGCCGCTGCACTAGTAGATAGTAAGATTCTGTCGGAAAGAAATGTTGCATGTTGAGATATGAACTCGCTTGAACAGTGGTAATCAGTGTCCTGTCCTCATGCTTTTGTAAACTTGCAAACGTAGCGCTAGTCCAATTTGTATGGCAAGGAAG